CTAGATTTTCGAATAAGAACAGCCGATAACCTCTTATCTTCAGTTAGAATCACGTTCAAATCAGTTGAGGGGCTGTTGGATCATAATCTACCGAAATTTCGACAGTTAATAGCGAAAAATAGTGAGAAACAACATTTTCGCGACCTGAGACAACTTCTGTATCTCGGCTGGTTGAGATACTCGTTGTGTCTCGGTTTCGACCGAGATGCCGCTTTGCGCACCTTTGACTATTTTCTCTGTAATTTTCTTATACGATCTCGAAATGATGTTATTAAAGATGAGTTGGAAAGCTGATGAAGAGATTTACAACTTTTATCTTTTAATATTCTTCAGATTCGAATCGTATCATGGTCAAAATATGTGAGATATCATTGGTGTCCTGCAGGTGTGAAATAGCCTGGACCATCTCGGTTATTTTGGCTTTAACTTTCACGTTCGATCTCAGAATAAGGTGATCCAAGATACATTGGAAATCTGATGAATATATCTACAACTTTTTTCTTTGAGCTTCTTCAGATTCAAATCGTATCATGGTCAAAATAGCTCTATCAGTCCCGAGACACACATTGTGTCTCGGCCTTGGCCGAGATACATATTATGTCTCGGCCTTGTTTTTAGCTCTAATTTTCATGCCCGATCTCGGAATGAGGTGATTAAAGATGCATTAGAAATATGATAAAGAGATTTATAACTTTTGTATTTTGAGATTCTTCATATTCAAATTGTATCATGTCCAAAACAGCTCTATCAGGCCCGACACACACATTGTGTATCAGCCTTGTTTTGGCTCTAACTTTTATGTCCAATCTCAGAATGGGGTGATCCAAGATGCGTTAGAAAGCTGATAAAGAGATATAAAACTTTTGTTTTTTTGAGCTTCTTTAGATTCAAATTGCATCATGGCTGAAATAGCTCTATCAAGCCCGAGACACACATTGTGTCTCGGCTTTGTTTTGGCTCTAACTGTCACGTCCGATCTCAGAATGAGGCAATTTAAAGTGCGTTGGAAAGCTGAAGAAGAGATCTACAACCTCCCATAGGTGAATCATACATGGAGTGTATGAGATATGAGTGGCGCTTTGCCTTTCATGAGTGAGACGTAACTCCTGATTGGATCGTCTCTTTGTTATTTTGCTGTCCCGTTGATTCGTAAGCTTCGTCAACTCGCTTCATACACTTGTCGGCATCAGATAATCCTTCTTGACTCGGATAATTATGTTTATCGTCTTCTCTCTATTTCGAGCTGCGTGTGGGAACCTATAGGTAATTTTTGACGCCTACAATATATTTTAGGTTTGTTTTAGTTCTTTCATTGACCTTTCTTTATGCAAATAGGATGTGTGAGAAATGTTATTCTGTTATTAGTGAAATTGTAGTTATACTTCTACTTGTTAATGTTTACAAACTTGATGTTGATGGCCACTCAAGTTTTTGTGTTAGGAAATTGTCAATTTTTTTAAATACATGTTTATGAACTTGTTACTTCCCATGATACGAACAATACTGATTTTGAATAATTATGCTTGAAAGTACGTCATTTTCTAGATCTTATTTGGAATCGTCTTTCTTTACATGAGGTTATGAGTAACTTGTAAGTCCAAGACCATGTAAGATTATATGCAAATTAGAGCCATCGTAAATTTGACTCAATTTTCTTGAGTTAAGATTGTACGAACATGTTCGGTAACTTATAATTTTTTTGAAAATATGATAGAATCACAATTACATTTAATTATTTTTTGTAAATTATTTAAAAATCTAAATCTAATACCAAAAAGTATGAATCAAAATTATGTTGTGATAATTTTCTTCCTCTTTTTCTCAGAAAGGTAACCAAACGAAAAAAATTGACTTTTGAATTTTCTTCTAACTTTCCTTACAATATTCTTTCTAACAAAACAATAAAAAGAATATCATTTTCTTTTCTTTTTCTTTTCCTGTCTTTTTTACTTTCTCTTACTTTTTCTTTTCTCCCCTTTCTCGCAAACCAAACATAGCCTTAAACACAAGTTATTAAAATGATTTCAAACTCCTCATCAAAACTTTAGAGTTTTGCTACTATAGAAGAGCTTTGACATAGGGCCTCTTTGATTGTCAAGAGAAATTAGAAAATTATGATTATAGGCAATTGACAACATTCTTTTGTTTGTTCGATTATGAGAAAAGAAAGAAAAGGAAGGAAAAAAAACATGTGCATGGGAGGCCCACCCTTAGATATGTATCTGGAAAACATGTGCATGGATATGTATCTGGTGCATTGTGCTCCCGGACATCAGCTTCATTAGTTGGTCTCGTGACTTGAGCATCCAATGACATTCGAAACCCTAAGGTCAACGCCGGACAACACGCAACCCTAGGTCAACGCCAGTCAACGCGTTGCAATCAAACAGTCGACGTACGACGTTCGAAACCCTAGGGTTAACGCCGGACAACGTGTAACCCTAGGTCAACGCCATTCAACGCGTTGCGATCAAAAAGTCAACGTACGACGTTCAAAACCCTAAGGTCAACGCCGGATAACGCGTAACCCTAGGTCAACGCCGATCAATGCGTTGCAATGAAAGAATCAATATTCCGAAAAGTATACGAGTATAAACTACTTCTTAATACTCCAATAAGGTATATGAGTATAAACTATTCCCTAATTTTGGTTGAGAAGTTTCTGGAGAGTATTTTTCTAAAAATATTCTTAAGGATAACTCAACAACACTACGCCGGACAACGCGTTGCAGATAAAGACTCGACGCCAACAATCGATGGTCAGCTAAAGATTAGAAAGTCAGGAATCGACTTCAAGTTTAAAATTCCGACAACGGTCAGACAATAAATGCAGCACCGGAACTCTTACAGACATTCGACAAAGCACCGAATAGCCTGGAGAATTGAAGGAATCAAGAACGGAAGTCATTCCACCCCCCCCCCCCCCCCCCAAAAAAAAAAAAAGGAAACAGAAGTAGAAACGGCTTGGAAATGGAAATATGGGTCGCAACCCATTTTTAATGGACCATTTCCCATATTTAGGTTTTTAGGAAATTAACCAAACACGTCCATGGTATAAAACATTATGGTTATGATCGATTCTCATCCAACTATCGAATCAAACTACTTGCGCTGTCTCTATTTGTTCATCCATGATTGGAATTAGACTAAATGACACTCAAATACGTTATTGTTTCACTATCTTTATATTTAAATACTCTTAAGTTATAAAAAGTTGTACTTTAATACTATAATTTGCAAAAGAGTAGCATTTTAATATCCTAAATTGTAAAAAATGGACATGTTTAATACCTTCTGCAACTTGCACGTGAGAATATTTCTAGAAATATTCCCGTGTTATTAACCCATTGTATTTTTATAATTGTATTGACCCTATCTATTGCCGTACTTACCACTATATTCTAAAAATACTCTTCATCTTTTTATTAAATTTGACATTCGTTTTTATGGAGGGATATTTTTGTTGTAACGGGTTTTTTAATAGTGTGTACAATATTCTAACAGTGGACAATATAAGATATTTATGTGCTAGTTTTGACAATTTAGGATATTTAAGTATAAAGATGGTGAAACAATAAAATATTTAAGTACAATTTCGCCAAGAATTAGTCAAACATTAACAATTAATGTATTAAAATTGCTAAAATTTTGCGATGCGTTGATAGCGTATCTTATCGCTTGCATTTGTTTAAAGTTTATATTTCTTCTGACTGTCGCCCTTTAAATTGCTAAAAGACAACTGCTGAAATTGGGTAGCAAACAACCTGTATTCGCTTTTTACGTATAAAGATGGTGAAACAATAAAATATTTAAGTACAATTTCGCCAAGAATTAGTCAAACATTAACAATTAATGTATTAAAATTGCTAAAATTTTGCGATGCGTTGATAGCGTATCTTATCGCTTGCATTTGTTTAAAGTTTATATTTCTTCTGACTGTCGCCCTTTAAATTGCTAAAAGACAACTGCTGAAATTGGGTAGCAAACAACCTGTATTCGCTTTTTACGTATAAAGATGGTGAAACAATAAAATATTTAAGTACAATTTCGCCAAGAATTAGTCAAACATTAACAATTAATGTATTAAAATTGCTAAAATTTTGCGATGCGTTGATAGCGTATCTTATCGCTTGCATTTGTTTAAAGTTTATATTTTTCCTGACTGTCGCCCTTTAAATTGCTAAAAGCTTTAAATTGCTAAAAGACAACTGCTGAAATTGGGTAGCAAACAACCTGTATTCGCTTTTTACGTATAAAGATGGTGAAACAATAAAATATTTAAGTACAATTTCGCCAAGAATTAGTCAAACATTAGCAATTGATGTATTAAAATTGCTAAAAATTTTGCGATGCGTTGATAGCGTATCTTATCGCTTGCATTTGTTTAAAGTTTATATTTCTCCTGACTGCCGCCCTTTAAATTGCTAAAAGACAACCGCTGAAATTGGGTAGCAAACAACCTGTATCCGCTTTTTACGTACTTTAAAGTTCGGATTTATGTAAGCCCAAAGCCCAATGCCCATCTTAACTATTAATTATAAAAAAGGCCTCGGCCTGTATATTTAATGCGAACGCTCACAGTGATTAATTTGTAACCGCCAATCTCGTGGGACTTACGCGCTGCAGATGATGACACGTGTTGAAACTCGAAATCCAACGATCCGTAAAGATTTGAAAAGTCTTCAGCAGTGTGCGAGCCGCTCAGAAGTTAATTTTTTTTTGACAGCTGGCGGGAACCTTATGGTTGCACCGGCCAAGTTGAGGTAGTTAATAACTTAATGGTAGAGCTGAATTTAGGTGTTGGGCCCCACTAGACAGTGGGGCCCACGAAAGTAAGATATGGCCCCACTTTGACAGCTCAGACAACATGTGACTAATTAATGAATGCTCATGGATGGCTTATTTGTTGAAATTAATCACAAGTTGCTTTATATATAATCATAAGTTTTTTTTCCGATTTACACATCATTTCTAGGTTCTTATTCTTTGTTAACTCATAAGGACAAATTATGCAAAAATGCAAAGCGTTGGACTTAAACTCACGCGATGGTATGTATTTTTTTCGCAAGTTTACTTTATATTTGTAATCGATGCGAAATGAACTTTAACATTTCTCATGTGAAAATCTCAGTTATTGTGTTGACACTATCAAGTTTTAGTGAAAATTAAGGGTTATATCCCGTGAGCTTTCTCGTTCAAAGTGCAGTTTCTAACTTCAAATATATCAAAACTCTTATAAAACTAGGAGACAGGTCATATTTAACAAAATTCTTGTTAAATATTGGGTTCTTGTTGATATTTGTATTACTAAATTCATTTTTAATGTATTTTAGCTACATATTGGGTGGCATTGACTTTTTTATTCATTACCAGGATTGCAAAGACCTCATCTCCAAAGGCAAAACAAAACAGCACTTGACTTTTTCACTCTTCAACGCTTCCTTGCTTTGTTCAAGTCCTCTCTCTCTCTCTCTCTAAAACTTTGACAAGAAATCAAGAGAAGCTGTAGATAACAGAAACAGAGAGACTCAGTCAGATCTTCTTCTTTGACCACAATCTCCTCTATATCTCTTTTTGAGGTTCACAAATTTCTTCAGCTCTTCAAGTTTAATTTCTTCAGTCCTTTTCTTCTTCACTCATTCATCCATTTACAGAAGAAGAGGAAGAAACTATTAAAGGGTCCTTCATCAATCAAGGTATAGCTCTACGCACCCTGTTTCTTTGTTCATTAATCAACTAAACAACTATATTCCAATCTCTTCATTGATCAATTGTTTATTTCATTAAGAATTCTCTTTTTGCTAAGGCCCTTGTGATTAATTTCCCTCATATTGACTGATTTCTTGGATAATATCTATAATACCTTGTTACTATAGATATTATCCAAAGAATTTTTTTTTCCTTTTGCAAAATTGTCTAGTATAATCTTGTTATTCAAGATTTTACATCGATATAAGTTCAGTGTAGAGCTAAAATCAAGCAATGTAAACTTGTAGATTCATTAGCTTTAAGCTAGGTAAAGGGGCCATCTAGTTGAATTCCATATACTTACCAGAGAATAAATGCAGGGCTAATTTTATAAAATTGAATCCACAAGTAATTGTTCACACTTTCAGATAAAAGTTGTAACAAATGAATCTTTGTGTTCTAGTTTAGGTGCTCAGATTAAAATGGTGAACACGGTTGCTAAAGTACGCCTAGTGAGATGCCCGAAATGCCTCAAGCTTCTTCCTGAATTTGCAGATGTTCCTATGTATCAGTGTGGTGGATGTGGTTCTATTCTTCGAGGTAAATTCTTCATCTATTTACACGAGTATTCGAGACTTTGCATGTTGTCAGAAACCGGGAAAGATTACTCATATACTTGATGAAATTGAAGAGGACAATATTATGTACTTATACACAAAGTACAGGCTATCTATAGTGTGAAAAAACTATAAGAATGAAGATGAACTTTGATGTTCAATTGTTCTTTCTGTGCAGCGAAAAACTGTAGTATCAGTAAAGAGAGTGCCTCTTCTTTAGGATCACCTGTAACTGTCACTTCTCGAAGTATATCAGATAACGAGTCCTCAGGTGATGGATTGTCCTCCTCTACGCAAAATATAGATCTTTCCTCATTGAATCATGAAGAAGTAAATAGTACCAATCGAAATCACAGCCATGAGGAAGGAGAATTTTTAACTACTGATGAGAGCAAAGAATCCTCAAATGGTGTATCTTGTAGCACTGAAGAGAGAGATGCCGATAGTTCCAGTCTACTTGGTTTCAGTTGCAAGGATGAGGATAAAGAAGAAGAGAAAGAAGAGAAATCTTCAAATCTCAGCAATGAAGTATCAGGAGAGGAAATAGTCGATAGAGAACACGAAGATACAAAAAGCAACAGTTTTAGCTCACCAGCTTCTTCTTCTTCTTCTTCTTCTTCTTCTTCTTCTTCAATTGAGCGAGTTCCTGAAAAGTATCGACTCAAGTCTAGAAGGACATTCAGAAGTCAACCAAGTTCAGGTTCAGGCATCTCCAAAGCAAAGGAAGGAGGAGGAGATATATACAATGCTAGTAAACAAAAAAGAATGGCATCGTTGGGCTCTGAGAGCTTTTATTCCGTAGAAAGCTCGATTGAACCTGAGAATGAAGTACCCTCTCGTTCTCCATCAAAAGATTTACGTCATGTCAAGAGAAATTCATCTGGGCATCAAAATGAAAGCAATTCCATGAGATTGAAGAACCTGAACCAGAATCGAGAAGAGTTGATACAACTGGTCGAGGAACTAAAAGATAAATTAGGCAAAGAATATGCACAAAAGTATTGTATTCAGTCCTCAAAAATGCCTCTCTCATATCTTCATCCCCATCTCAAGGCAAATGAACCAATTCAGCCTTTGCGTAAGTCTCGGCCACTGAAGAGATTTTATCGTCCAGTTCTAGGTGGAGCTCCCTTCGTCATCTGCTACAAATGCTTCGAGATGTTGCATATGCCTGCAGACTTTCTTATATCGAAGAAAAGGTTGAATAAATTGAAATGCGGGTTTTGTTCTGAGATTTTATTGCTGCCATTTCCTGCAAGGGCTTATCCAGTTCCACAGGCTTCTTCGGCTGAGAATGAAAATTGTTCAGAAGGTCCAATTTCTTATTCTGAAGAGTATGGGGTTTCTTGTACTGAGAGCAGTTCTGCTGAGGCTGAGCCTGCGTTGAATGTTTCTGGGGTTTCTTCTAATCAGGGTGAGGATCTTAAAGGTTTGGGTTTACCTTTGCATCGGATTATGGGGTACGCTTCAGCAAGATATTTATTGTGAGAGTGTCTATCCTTGAACCAGTGCAATTCAAAAGACTTGGGCTGTTAAGGAAAGACGATTCTTCAAAGGGACTGAATGTTAGAATGCCATAGTAAAATCGGTTGTAAATAGAACCCTGCAGAAATTGGTGAAGCATGTGTGATTTCGACAGAGTTTGTTTGCCTCTTGTATGAAGAGGAAAGTATGTGCATTGTTTCATTGTTTTCATTGAATAGAGCACCTGTATTGTTCTCGTTACAATCATTTTGTGATTAGCGCATGCAGATTCTTGGATTTACAAGGGATCATGTCCTCTCCGTAGTCCCTCTTGAATTTCTAGCCTTTTCCATATATACGTCCTTCTAAAAGTAGTAGTTTGTTCATTTACCCTCCAAAATTTTTAAGTTTAATGTACACTCTTAAAAATGTATATTAAAATCGCTTACACACTTTTTAATGTATTAAAAAAATATCTATCATCACTACAGGGCATATTACCCATATTATTTTGCACCTCTGTTTGCTATCACGAAGGAAAAACAGTGGTTTGAATTACTTAAGAACTGTATTCGTTTGTTATCAAACCTGTGAATTACTTTATTTGGGCGAACCTTCAAACAATTCAAAAGCAAGATAAGCTTGACATAACTATATTCTTGATACTATAAACATTTTTCATCTTTAATATCTCGTATGACACAGATACAAGGGCTCTAACAATCGAACAGTTACTTATATATACAAATAATAATAATAATAATAATAATAATAATAAGAAGAAAAAAGACTAGTCACTGTGTGAAAATTTATATAGATACAGTATAGAATTCAGAATCTCACTGATACCGCTTCATGCCCCTCATCCTTCTGCGATTGGAGACAACAGTGATCCTTTGATCCTGGAGCATGTTCATGTTAGGCGCTAATAATCGAGTATAGCGATCAAAATATAGAAGTTGCTTTATAAGGAGTGCAAACTCCCTTGGAAACTTTAATCCATATGATTCGCTGACACGAACCTGCAATACAAAATTGATAATAAAAGTAAGAACGCATATCTGTTGGGAAAAACCCCTGTGCCGAGATCCAATACCAAATAGCCGAGAGATGAACAAACACACCAAACAATAGCACAAACACAATAACACCAGTTTTAACGTGGTTCGGCGAGATGCCTACGTCCACGGGGCAAGGAAGGGGGGGTTTTCACTATTAGAAATCAAGGGGATACAACTAGGGTTACAAATCTCACAAGAAACCCTCCCAACTCACTCTTGATCTTTCCAGAATGCTCCAACAATAGAAGCCCAAGAAATCCCCCACAATGGCTGCTGAAACCCTCTTGCCTTAACCCTAGAACCGTGACTTTAGGTATTTATAGAAAACCCAAACGAAACGGATCGTCTTGCCAAAAAAACTAGCCCAAAACCGCTGCTGCGGTCGACCGTGGCGGTCGCCGACCGCATGCCTCGCGGTCGACTGCCACGGTCGACCGCACCAAATCCAGAAACATGCTTCCAAAATCCAGAGAAAACGCGGTCGACGCCCAAAGATCCAAACACACAGTGAGGTCTGTGCACGAACGCGGGCGACCGCCACGGTCGACCGCCAACCTGCCGACTGCCATATGCCTGATTTCTGCCATTTCTACAAATCTCCACCTCAGCGAAGATTCTACCAAACTGAGCCGACACCAACCAAACCAATTTGCCTCACTTGTTGCATCCAGTATGCCATGACAACAGACTCATGACAACGGACCGTATCCACAACACGTCGAGACCCAAACGGGAGTGCGAACACTCACCCCAAACCAACTGTCTACTCACCAAATCGGCTACATCAAAACTGACTGCATACGTATCCTCTCCAAGGAATCAAGCCTTCACGTAGTTCACCCAATGGCCTCCAAAGACCTTCAATCCAAAAGAAGAGTCCTTAACTCTTCACCAATACCAACATCCAAAGTGCGACTGATAGCGTCACCAACGGCCTCATACTGAAACGATCCAAACACCTCCACCTGAGGTGAACCAATGGCTGTATCCAAGCTACATCCACCAGCTGCACTCGAAACTGATAACTCGTCATCTGCATCCTGAACAATCTGATCCCCAAACTGTGTCACCTTAGCCGGAATCTCAACTAATGCAAAATAACCTGGAGTATGTGGAGTAAGCTCCACCCAATGTGGAGTAGCATCACCCTCCACCCGCTGCGATATCCTACTGATCTGATCAATACTCTTCACCTGCGGAGAGTCCAAATTGACATACCTGCTCAGACCAAACTCAGAAGCTCCCGACTGATAGCCAGACGAACCCCTGAATCTCAAATGCGCAATCAGATCCAATCTCACATCCACGATGTGACCAAGTGCTGGGTAGCCCAATATCCGACGCCAACCAAAATCTGAAACAGCTCCACCAGATCTAACAATATCTAACGCAGCAGTCGACAACCTCATAAGATGGCTCAAACTTGTCAGAGCCCGAATACCAAATCCACTGCTCAACAACCAACGTCGATCCTCCTCCAGAAAAGAACGGCCTACAGAATCCGCCATCTCATCTCGTCGCCCCACTGTCTCCTCTCCTATGAAGTGTCTCCAACTGCCATGAGCTCGGCACCAATGCAAGAAAAAACCCCTACTATAACTAGTACGACGTGTAACCTTTCTGCCCATACACCTCCTCCAACTGTTGCAGACTACTAGGGCTTCATACCAACGGGACTTGGTTGTAACCCATAAATGCTTAGTACAATCCCCAACATAGAAAACAAAATACCGGTTACCTCCCAATGATGCCTCCTTAGAAGGCCCCCCCAATGCCTAACTAAACACCTCCTAAAAGACTCATCGATCAGTGGATAGAAGTGCCAAACTCCACCACGGTCTTCTCGCTCATCCCAATGTGCTCAAAGGACTTCAATCTACAGGTCATAGCACTCCTCAACAATCTATGCACGGCATAACCAATCATATACCCCAACACCAAACAATATCACAGTCTAGCCAAAGAAGTCATCAGCGCTCTATCAATCACCGTGCTCCCAAGCAGGTAATATAAGTTACTCCTCCTGACACCCTTCATCATAATCATGGACCAAGGTTTTAAATGTCGGATGTCATGTTCATGTCGGATGGCTGAAATCCATGTCGGATAGCGGAAATCGGGGATATATCGGGGGACATTAACTAAATATCGGATTGCCATATCGGGTAGTGCGCATATGTATAATATCATGTCCTAAATGTAATCTAAGCATTCATAAATTCAATATAAGCATACTTTATAAATTCTATAGACTAAACATATAAAAAAGTAAATAATTTATGAATTTGGGTTCATAAATTCTTTCTATCGGGTTCATACGAAACCCTTAAACATGAGAACGGGTCAAACGGGTTTGGATATTTATCACTAAACCCAAATCTGATAACAAAAAACAGATCTTAAAAAAAAGTACTATATCGGTTGATTTTTCAAAGCTAAAAAATAGGCCGATATGCCCGATATGACCCTGATATTTCCGATTTGACCCTGAAAACCGACATACGAGTTGAAAATGTCCATGTCGTGTCGGTCAAGTCCTCAAACCGATATGTCGGCCGACATGTCCGACATGTCAGCCGATATTTAAAACCTTGTCATGGACCCCAATATGACCTTCAAGAGAGAATCCGCCAAGGTCACCCTATAATCAGCTGCCTCTAATACACCAAGTGAAATGATATTCTTCCTCAGCTGAGGAACGACCCTCACATCAACCAACTCCCGAATCATCCCGTCACTCATCTGAATCTGAACAGTACCAATACCACCAATAGGACATCTGTGATCATTACCCATAAGTACATCATCCCCTCTTTCCAACTCTTGAAAGTTGGAGAACCAATCCCTCCTAGGACATATGTGATAAGTAGCACATGAATCCAACATCCACTCGGTGGAGTTGGCCACACCAACTGACGGAAGAGCTGGGCATGAATAGCCCAAAGAATCTGAATCTGAAACGTCGCCACTAGCCTTGGCAACATTCAACTCTGAAGCTTGAATAACTTTCCCCTTATTCTTCCCGGCTTACAATTTTGGGCATTCGACTTTCCAATGTTCATCCTCTCTATAAAAGGCATATTGATTCCTACCAACTGCAGGATGCCCCCTCTAGACCGCGACCTCCTACCACGGTTTGGACTTCTAGCTCTTACAACCAATGCCCCAGCAACCGGCTCAATGGAAGTCTCATTGTCCTTCTTTCGAAGTTGATTATTCACAAGAGCCGCGGTGACCTTACTATACAAAAGAGATGCCTTCATATTAATAAGAGTGAGGACGAAGGTCTCATATTCCTCGTCGGGCAAGGAACTCAATAACAACAATGTTTTGTCATCTTCTTCAACCATAACATCTACATTCGCCAAATCTGCAAGTAGCTTCGTGTAGTGATTCATGTGATCACTAATGGATGACTCATTCTTCAATTGAAAGCGATAAAACCTCCTCTTCAAATGTAAACGATTTTCGACGCTGGCTCTTCGTCAAATACTTGCCCTCTAGGACTTCTCAAATCTTCTTTGCCGAAGTCTCATTCATTACATCATATTTTAGATCTTGAGTAAAACAAGACCTAATTACACCACACGCCGTTCTATTCATTTTCTTCCAAACCTTCTCATCAATGTCGTTCGATTTCCCGTCCAACTCCAACGTATCTTCCAAATTTTGCGTATTTAGCGCATCTATGACTTCGTATCTCCAAAGTCCAAAATTATTTGTGCTATCGAACTTCTCCACATCTATCTTCATAGAATGGACATTCAAACTTTGGACGGTCTTCACACTAGAAGAACCCTCCTCACTTTTATCTTTCCCGGTCATATATCTCAAAGCACCCATGTTTGTGGGAAAATTGCAATGAAAAGAATAAAGAAAATTAATTTGTATTTCTTTGATTCCGATTACAACTTGATTACAAAAGAGGAGAGAACGGATTTGATTCTCCTCTTTGTTTAAAACTGGGTTCTTCTTGGTAGCGGTGGAGTGCCTCCTTCAATTGCTCGCGTCGAAATTGCTCTCCGTTGACGATCCGCTGTTTTGCTTCACTGGAACGATATCTTCTCCTCACGATTTGACGTTGTGGAGAACTTGCGTGGCAAGTTTGAGAACTCTGAACGAGTTTAGAAGAACTCTGTAAAAGAGTTGATTTGAACCGAAGATCGGTTAATAAGCCAAGGCTAGAAGAAAGCTCTGGTGGTCGATCTTAGCTGAGGATGAACGTCGATCTCCCTCTTGCTGCCAATTCTCAGATCCGAAAAATCCAGCCAAAAACCCCCGCCCGGAACTCAGTTGAGTTTATCCATATTTATAGGGAATTAAGGGGTGTAACCGCCCCCTTAATTCTCTCCATAATGGGGTGTAACCGCCCCCAAATCGTGGGAAACGGTTTTAGAACCGTTCAGCTCATGTTGAATGAGTCAAATTAACAATGCCCACGTTGGCGTTCAGGATCCTAACTCCACATTTTAGACTGGAGACGCGGAGTTGGGTACCCGCAGGGCGTAGAAAAACGCGAGGGTCGACCTTGGCGTTTTTTGATGTTGTGACGCGGGGTTCGACCCTGGCGTTTTGATGTTGTAACGCGGGTTCGACCTTGGCGTTTTGATGTTGTAACGCGGGTTTCGACCCTGGCGTTTTTTGATGTTGTGACGCGGGGTTCGACCCTGGCGTTTTGATGTTATAACGCGGGGTTCGACCCTGGCGTTTTGATGTTGTAACGCGGGTTCGACCTTGGCGTTTTGATGTTGAAACATGGGGAGGACCTCCGCGTCTTGCCTTGCAGAGATTATCACCAAGTAATCTCTTTTTGTCATAGCGTTGCAAAGATCATTGTCTTGTAATCTTCGTCTTGGCTCCTTGAGAATATGAGAGTCGTCAGATTGTAACTCCCGATGTTGATTGTGAAGGTTGTTGAAGTAGAGCTTCCATCAGTTGTCGTGAAGGTCGTCAGATTATAACCTTCAGCAATCTACGCGAAAGTCTTCAGATTACAGCCTTCTGGAAGTCGTCGGATTGTAACTTCCATCATTGGTGGTTGATGGGGGATAAGCTATCTATTGTGATTTTTAGACAGCTTACAACCCAATAAATAATTACGGAACGAACAAGAAATAGATCCAAATTGAACAAAGATAGAATTTTTACCACAAAGATTTCACCTTTATCACCAACCGAAGCTCTAGATGAACTTTCCAACTGATCTACACCTCCAAAAAGCCCAAGCGTTACACAAAGCTTTGATACCACTTGTTGAGGAAACCCCTGTGTCGAGATCCAATACCAAATAACCGAGAGAGATGAACAAACACACCAAACAATAGCACAAACACAATAACACCAGTTTTAACGTGGTTCGACGAGATGCCTACGTCCACGGGGTAAGGAAGGGGGAGTTTTTACTATTAGAAATCAAGGGGATACAACTAGGGTTACAAATCTCACGAGAAACCCTCCCAAATCACTCTTGATCTCTCCCAAATGCTCCAACAATAGAAGCCCAAGAAATCTCCCACAATGGCTGCTAAATCCCTCTTGCCTTAACCCTAGAACCGTGACTTTGGGTATTTATAGAAAACCCAAACGAAACGGGTCTGCAAACAGAACCAGCCCAAAACCGCTGCGGCGATCGACCGTGGCGGTCGACCGCGATGCCATCGCGGTCGACTGCCACGATCGACCGCACCAAATCCAGAACAGGCTCCAAAGTCCAGAGAAAAACGCGGTCGACCGCCAAAGACCCAAACACACAGTGAGGTCTGTGCACGAACGCGGTTGACCGTTACGGTCGACCGCTAACCTGTCGACTGTCATATGCCTGATTACTGCCATTTCTACAATATCTTGATCAAAGACACATCAGACAGTTAATAATAGATGGAACCGACTCATTCTACATGTTACAAATTTTCACAGGTTGTATAGAGAATAATCATTGCATATGGTGAAGGCTTAACTAAGATTTATCCATGTTATCTACATTTCTTAAACGAAACAGTTTTAAGCATTATCGAAACTTAAGGTCAGTTATCTAAGGTTCATGAAAGGTTCCTCGGTTGGATTCTTCTGCAAACCAGATATATGGATAAGATATCTGCCTGCTAGGCACAAGCAAAATATATCTTGATTCATGAGCTTAAATTGCATTAGGACAATTTTCCTACCCATACAGCAGCCTTCTAAACAAGAAACCTTTCCCATAGTTTCCTAAGCCAGTAATCAGTAATGAATTCAAAGTGTCAATATCTGGTAAGCCCAATCACCATTTCATGCAGCATAATCATTTTAGTATTATGTTATTGAGAATAAAGGTTTAGATGACTCAAATAATGGCTGCCATTATGAAGAAATCAGTTTACCAAATCAAGAAATAGGGCATTCATCTGGTTCTCATCCACAACTACATTAGCAGAGACAGCAGCTGCATTTGGTCCTCTCGCAGTTGCAACAACAATTTCTGTGTCTAGATCCTGCCAGTACAGAGCAAAGTGAAAAAAAAAGCAAGAATCATATCTAGGAAATACTATAGGAAAAGTATAATAAAAAAATATGATAGAATTCATTGTTCAGATCACCAAAGTCCATTAATAAGAAGGCTTAATGATTCACGTCTTCTGTTACTCAACCATCATTGTGTACAATTGGCGCATGCACATGTACGTGTCTTGAAATTACAACTTGGTTACTAGGTATTCTTGCTTTACAGTAGAAAACCTTCTAAAGTTTTCCTGATATAATGGTGTTGTTTCATCACTAGTAATTATTTGGTATTTGATACCAAAACTATGCAGAGCTTTATTAACGAGAAAATAATATATTGCTAGACTCATCTGGCTAAAGAAATAACCAGTACCTTTATTGAGGAGAAAACATTTTGCAAGTCTCTGGCAAAGGCCTTAGAATCTACATTCTTTTCTGTAGCACCCATTTCAATCAAGGCAGATGCCATAGAATCATAATCTTCACTTGCAAAGGATGCCAAAAAAATCTCCATAGCGGCCCATGTTTTTGGAGATATTCGTCCAACAATTCCTGAAAGAACTAATCTGATTAATATGCACAAAAATTATGCTATAAATGTAGTAAAAATACATATACACATCATCAAAACAATGTAAGTAATAGCTCACTTTGCCATCAACTAATCTAGACTTTCAAAAGAAGTATGATTGACGATCAAAACTTCATAAATAGATCATAGTTAATTATCAATATATACATCAATAGGTCCTCCTTCAAAACACATGATAAGGGCAGCACTTTATTTTTCCTGTTAATTTTCAAAATAAAATCCACTAGGTGTCGGGCTAGTAGTTAAAACTTAAAACTTGTTTAAAATCAGGATTTGTATAATACACATCATCAAAACAATGTAAGTAATAGCTCACTTTGCCATCAATTAATCTAGACTTTGGAAAGAAGTATGATTGACCATCAAGACTTCATAAATAGATCATAGTTAATTATCAATATTAATATATATATACATCCATAGGTCCTCCTTCAAAACACATGATAACAGCAGCACTTTATTTTTCCTGTCACTTTTTAAAATAAAATACACTAGGTGTGCAGGCTAGTAGTTAAAACTTAAAACTTGTTCAGAATCAGGATTTGTATATAAGGAAACGGTTAGCATCTTAAAGTAATATTATTATACGTTCCATAAATAGTTGATACATATATTTGTAATTTATATAACATAATAAAATTAATAAGCAAAGCCCTGTAGCTCTGACACATAGCTTAATAGTAGATGTGAAAATTAATTTATCCTAGACTGTGCTCATTCATAAAGTTACAGGTGTAATTGCGAGATGCTACAGAAGAAAGAGACTAAAGTATACGCAATTTGGATCCCAGATGGCTCCGGTGGGACTTACCAAAATCAAGAAACCCGATCTTGCCATCACGAAGCAACCATAGGTTCCCTGCATGGACATCTGCATGAAAGGTGTCACATGCAATCAAGCTTCCAAACCTACAGAACAATGGCATCATTGCATTTAAGCCTTTTCTTATGAGCAAATATTAACAATGCAATAATAGATATCAAAATAGAAGTAGAGGTTTAATACCAGACATTAAGTGCAGTTACAAGAGCTGTCTCAGGATCAGGAACAAGTGATCTTATAGAATCAAGATCAGTGAGAGGAACTCCATAAAGCCTCTCCATTGTCAATATTCGTCTAGAGCTGCAATGGTGATAGACTTTTGGCGCCTTTGCTTGTCCCTCAAGTCCCATGGTCTCTAAATATCTCCGGAAAGTCTCAATATTTACAGCCTCTTTTTGGAAATCTACCTCTTCAAGCATTGATTCTCTTATATCTCCAACAACGCCTACCTAGTGCGGTAATTTAAAACGGGTTGCTTTCAGAAAATGTTTCCAGAGAAGTTAGCCAACACAAACAAAAAGAGGGAGAAGGTGGTTTTTCTTTTCTTTTCTTGCTTTCTTTTTTTTCTTTGGGGGGTGGGGTGGGGCATTACATTTCTGGACAATACACGAAAAGAACCAAGGCTAGACAAAAAGTCAAACTTCCCAACTCTAATAGAAAGTTAAACCACAAGCTCCAGTGTATGATAAAACTTCTCGTTAACACTAAGTGTATTTCTTGGGATAAAATTTGATAATTATAAAAAATTTAACAAGTAGACACGGATTGAAGGAAATATTTGTTTCAGATCAAGTAGTAAATTAATCCTCTGCACCGGAGAGATTAATTCAGCGTAGAGCCTTAGGAACAAGCAGAATAACTTCAATCATTGATAATATAGCAAATGGTAAGGCTAAGAAACCATCCATGACTTAGTTGTGGTTGTTATTGTTGTTGTTGTTGTTATATATGTGTATGTAATATGTAGTCCTTAAAATTTTCTGCCTGTAAACTTTGTTGCATTAAGAGTATTTCAGTTTTAATTATTGAAATATTTGTGTTTGTGTGTCGTACATCAATTTAGCCTAGAATTGTGTCATCAAATTCAGTTGTTCACCCTTTAGATTTCATTTTTTTTTCCATGACACCAGCAATATGATATTAGAATATCCATGACTACATTAATTGTGGACCATAAATGCCTCCCTAGAGCTAAATCTAAACAACATTTGCACATTGTTCCTTCAAGACCTTCCTCTCCTCCCTTCGAAGTTATTAAGACCTTGACACAACAAGTATAGGATGTATTGCTTTGATCATGGCCTTAGTGGGTTAGGTTCGAATACTTTTTTGTTGCAAATGTTGTGTAATTATAGTAATATAAGCTCATGTAAGATATATGATCAAATGATGGGTTATGGTCCTGAGAAGGAGCTAGTGCCTTTTTTAGTAAGTTAACTTGAGCGATCATTTAGGTCATTTAGGTTTAGGTAGAAATCTTGCTTTAAATTTGATTTTTTTATTGATATAGTTTGGGATTGACATGGTAGTAGAATGTCATTATTTGTAACATTATTGCATAATACATTATCATTAATAATATACCACACTTACTTTCAATGAAGTATCACATAGTGAAACACCATCTTTTAAAGGCTACAAGTGCTATAGGTCACCTGACAATTCAAGAAAATTCTCTCTTAGTAGTCACAAGAGCTATATACAACCGCTGAAAAGTTCGTCTTCTATTGCTAATCCAAATTGCATATTTCATGTTCTTCTGCAGAAGAACAGGCAGTTAGAGTTCAAATCATGTTAGTGATTTGGACTTGATATGAATCCTATCTAAAATCCTCAGAGGAAATGGATACATTGAAGGATTTGGATCTACTCGCTACACATAACAAGTACCTTGGGTCCAATGCTAAGAAGTCTTTTTTTGGAGAGAGAATTCAAGGGATTATCATTTAGATTCTCTTTGGATGGTTTGACCACATTTTAAAATGTATGCTTACCTGAAGATGAGAACAATATACGTTATAAAGTGAAGGAGAAGATGTAAGCTTACAATCAAAACTAGCCAGTCATTGCAATGTAAGTATATGTGGGACACCAAGTGTGGGGAGAAAATATATAGGGGAAAGTTTGGAATAAATGAAAAATTGCTACCTCATGCTTTTCACAGGCTAAAAAACTAGTAAGGATATTATCTCATAGAGAGGAAGTAAATCTATTATATTTAAAAGTTGCATATATAACTGCAGTGAATCCAGATTCAGTTATGTGAGGTGTTTGTTTTTTACCATAAAAATCGTAATTTTTTGCTGTAAAAGGTGAAATCTTTTCATGGTTTAAAATTTCATAGCTTGTTTTTTACCATAAGTTTTTTATTCTTCAATATAATCCAGATTCACTGGAGTGAATCCAGATTCACTGGAGTGAATCCAGATTCACTGGAGTGAATCCAGATTCACTGGAGTGAATCCAGATTCACTGGAGTGAATCCAGATTCACTGGAGTGAATCCAGATTCACTGGAGTGAATCCAGATTCACTGGAGTGAATCCAGATTCACTGGAGTGAATCCAGATTCACTGGAGTGAATCCAGATTCACTGGAGTGAATCCAGATTCACTGGAGTGAATCCAGATTCACTGGAGTGAATCCAGATTCACTGGAGTGAATCCAGATTCACTGGAGTGAATCCAGATTCACTGGAGTGAATCCAGATTCACTGGAGTGAATCCAGATTCACTGGAGTGAATCCAGATTCACTGGAGTGAATCCAGATTCACTGGAGTGAATCCAGATTCACTGGAGTGAATCCAGATTCACTGGAGTGAATCCAGATTCACTGGAGTGAATCCAGATTCACTGGAGTGAATCCAGATTCACTGGAGTGAATCCAGATTCACTCCAGCGAAAGCTTGGATGGTTAGGATGGTTTTTAATGAATTGTTGAAGAAATAAATGCATGTGCTGTAATTTTGAAGAAATAAACGCATGAGTGAATCTAGATTCACTGTAGTGAATCCAGATTCAGTTATGTGAGGTGTTTGTTTTTTACCATAAAAATCGTAACTTTTTGCTGTAAAATGTGAAATCTTATAATGATTTAAAATTTTATAGCTTATTTTTTACCATAAATTTCTTATTCTTTTTTTTTTTGCAGATTTGCTATTGTTTGATAACGAGTTTCAGTCCACTGAATCTGGATTCAATTCAGTGAATCTGGATTCACTCTAATGAATCGAGCTTCAATATAATCCAGATTCAATGGAGTGAATCCAGATTCACTGGAGTGAATCCAGATTCACTCCAGCGAAAGCTTGGATGGTTAGGATGATTTTTAATGAATTGTTGTTGTGTTCTTCATACGAAGATGGAAGATGATAGAAGATGGAAGTGAGTTACAGAGAGCAGGAAGCGAGTTAGAGAGAGAAATGGGGAAATGGAGAACTCAATAGAGAAGCATTAATGTTGTTAGCCACCATTAATGTAGTGAATTGTTCCACGTGTTGTATTTTTGGTTTCCAATGTTGCCAGCCACCATTTTACAGGGTGTACTGCTTTGCTGTTATATGAAATCACGGAGGATAATTACAAAAATAAATAATATCATTATTCAGTTGAAATAACAAATTTGCCCCTAAGAATAGACAAATGTGCTTGGTTGTCTTAGTTGATTTTGATTCTCATACATTTATCTATGACTATTAGAAGGTTCATGCATATTTGCAGTCCAACCCAAAATTGCGGCCTACATGAGGTTCATGATTGAATTCTTGTTGAAGAAGGATTTCTAGTGGCCTATATGAAATAGATTAGGACTTCAAGGTCCTAGGGATAATATTCCTTATTAAAGGAATAGGGTGCATGTGATTTGATATTACCATGTAGTTGATTTTTTGAGAACCTGAAAGCATCTATTTGTGGTGCGCGGATTCCAAAGCAAGGAGAGAGAGAAATAGAGAGAGAAGAAGTTGATTTTCAGATTGCTCGATTGTCCGATTGTAGTGGTTCAAACATCATTTTCTTCATAACGACAACGCCGTCAGGAATATGATGTTGGTTTCTCCATAGGTGTTGCAGATTTGAGTTGAGACAGATTTTTGGGTTTTGATACCCTGGAGGTAACACTGTATTTTCTCTTGTGATTTAATCATCAAGTTTGAATGTAGCTTAAACAAATGGTATAACAATGAAAAATGGAAATTTGGAGGGAAGTATGAGGGTATTTTTGTAATTATGTGTCTCTAGAGAATTACATGAGACTATTCAAGCAGCTGGAATTGTGGGATTATGGGAGGAGAGCAATTGAAACGGTTGCCAAAAAAGAATCCAAAGCAAAAGAATTTGAATGGTTTGTTTGGATTGTGGAATTGGATTTCTTTCTTTTTCTTTTTCTTTTTGTTCTTTAATCAGCTAGATATGAGATGTAACTTTAAAGGTTGAAGTAATTATATCCATCAACAATATAATTAAGTAAAAGGGTTTAAGTTCTTGTGCCTAGGGTAAATGTTAGGGATACAGACTATGTATGGGTAATCTATTTTCATTTTGTTTTATTTTTTCTAGGTGTATCTATCCTATTGAGCAAATCCCTACTGAACAAATGCAACATATGGATGACACAATTTGAATTGAACAATCTTATATACATTATATAACTTTTATCTATTTTATTTTACATTCGGATTATACAAAGGATTAGTTGTACTATAATATCCTAAAATAGTTTTGAGACCTTATGAGGTTCAAATTTATGCAAATAATAATTCAAAGATTTTAAGTTATAGTTAAGCTTGTTCACGAAGTGGCATAAACTTATGTTAGTCAAAATTTTCTAGAATTTTTTTCTTGGAAAATTCTTTATAAGTTTTAGTAGATTTA